AATAGCGTCAGTAATGTGGTTAAAAAATGTCGGGTGAATATGTACGCAGACGACATGTATCTTATGTTGCAGGCATGTTGCATATATGCATGCTGACTTCAATAATATTACCCAGTGGGCTCACAACAATGATATCATACTAAACTTAATAAAACGAAAGTGATTCATCTGTAGGCACCGCACAACTAAGTGGCAAAAATGTCAAGAGTGTGGATATAGGTATCGTGGGTCACAAGTATGCACGTTAAAATGTAAATTATGTTTATCATAATTTAAAATTTAAAATTTTGTACAGCCGATTTCAATATAGGTTATTAAGAATAACTCAAAAACTATTAGTCTGACCTTGATCAAATTCATATGACCAAACGAAAAGTACCAGCTTTCAAATAAAAAAAGAATCATCGAAATCGGTTCACCCAGTAAAAACTTATGAGGTAACACACATAAAAAAACATAGAGTCGAATTAAATACCGTCTACTTTTTGGAAGTCGGCAAAAAAGCTAGATTAGGTTAGTAAATTTAAATATCTAAGTCTGTGGGTGAACCGCATTATGACTTGGAAAACACAGATGGACACAGTGTGTACAATAGGGCAGTGTTGAGTAAGTTTTATATCCTAAAGGCATCGTTGAGTAGTAAATTACTACATGTCATTTATTTTGCTCTTGCCGAGTCATTACTTACCTATGGATTAAATACGTATGGCCGTACATTTAAAATATATCTTAACAGTGTAAAAACGCTGCAAAGTCGTTTTATGAAATACCTAGTTAACCCATAAACAAAAATTGCTTATAAAGAAAATGAAGAAATACTTTTTGCACTATGTGAGATGCTTCCTGTACATAAGAAAGTCAAGTACCTGCTAGTTCTAGAACAGTTCTATAACGATCAATTCAAAGTGCGAAATAGGTACAATACTGGAATCGTTAGAGAGTGTTAACTCGAGCGACTACCAGTAAAAAAATTACTATGGCAAAAGTATTTCACCTCTACACTTTTTGAAATCTTGATTGGCTGAGAGAAGATAATACTAGAATATTATAAGTAAACGAACACTAAAAAGTAAATTAAAAACTGTTTTTCTTAATGAAGTTGCAACACGATGTGAAAATAGTGTTGTCGTCTTTATATAAATGTTGACAATAAGGTTTGTTGAAGAGTTAAACGTTACAATGATGTACCCATAATTACTTAACTAGTGACGATAAGTCCGAAGGGATGCGCCGGCTAAATGCTTGAAATTTTAAATAATTGTTTAGTAGTTGCTATAAAATTTAATACTAACTTTTATTTACACTGTTTTATTTTCATTAGATATACAATCTAATGAAAATATTAACTATTTAAACCAAATGTATTAATACGACCGCTAATCCCGCCGACAAACTGCTACGCAGTTTAGTGGGTGTGAAATATGTAAGTACTAAAGGTTTGGTTCTGAATAAATGATTTTTTTATTATTATGGTGTATTAATAAAGAATATGTAAAAGGAAATGATAAAAATACCTAAATATATATTAAATATATTAACATACATAAATAATACATAAATAGATAAATGCCTTACCACATGGAAGCCCTCGGCAGGGGAGACCATTCGGCCGAGGGTTAGAGGGAAAGGGAAAGAAACCAGCGGACGATACGGGCGGTATCGAGGAGCACCACCATTTGAATTTGAGCCTGGAGCGGTCCGTCACGGAGCCCCAGTCGCCATAGATGACCCGAGAGGCTGACCGGGATTAGCCCGGTCGCAGAGGACTACACACTACAGGAATAATTTCGGTCGACAGACCACCCCACATGTTGGTCACCTCGTGAGCAAGATCAAGATATTTTGTTTTCTTATCTGTGTCGGCTTTCCCGAGGTTCTCTTCATACGCAATGGTAATGTGTACGAAAAATATCCTTGACTGTGCCCGGTCCATCAGCACAATATCAGGCTTATTCGCAAAAATAGTGCTGTCTGTGATGATAGCTCGCTCCCAGTAGAGTCTGGCCCGTTCATTTTCGAGCACGGCATTCGGCAAATATTTATAATAAGGCACTTTCCGATCCACGAGACCGTATTTCAGGGCGAGCTCCTGGTATAGAATCCCGGCTACTAGATTATGTTTGTGCAAGTACACAGAGGAAGAAAGCGCCGAACAACCGGAGATGACATGCCTAAGTGACTCACCAGGATAGCGACAAGCTCGTCAGATGTCGACGGCGCCATCCTTTAGGATGTATCTCCGATAGTTTTTGGTCTTAACCCATTAGTGGCCAAAATCAAATAAAAAACGTTTTTAACGAAAAATGTTTATTTTATTAATATAGACAGGACTAGCCAAAATAAAATTAAACAAATTTTTTTTTATTATTTTTTCATACTTTTTCAGGGGTGTACTTGTTTGAATACAGCGGCCACTTATGTGTGAAATTTTTCGAAGCATGACTTTTCAACGCAGAGTGTTATCAAATACTTCTTGCATTCCCATCATACCCTTGCATGGCAAATAACGCACCGTAATTGCTTTTAAAGCTTCCTTGGGTAGTGGCCTGAACCATCTTGAGGCAATACTTCGATCAAAGAAAATGGTTTGGCTCTTTTTAGAGTTTCTTGTCGCAAATAGTATCTGGCAAGACTACGTCGAAACAGGAGTTGATCCATAGGGTCATCCTTGCTCATAACATGTAAATGCCAAGAGTTTGAAACGGCCACGTCCAACAAGTATGTAAATAAAACCCACCACCACTTTTTGCAATGAATCCCGATCCTGTATAATGATATGGACTGATCAAGCTCATCGACTCCACCCATACCTTTATTGTAGTTTTCAAATAAAAGCAGAATACTTACATCAGTTTTCTCTCTCATTTCTGGGCACCATCTTTTTACCGTGCCCATCGGTTCAAAGTAATCATAGTTAGTAGCCATCGTGCAGACACTATTGTCTTTCCATCTGACCAACAACAGTTCATTATTTTTATCGAACCTGTAAACAAAAGCCGCTCTCTCTTTCTTCTTCATCTCCTTAATGGCTGTCAATGGGTACTTTTTAGTGCGATTCTAATGAACTGTTCCAGTAGCGCAGTATCCTAGATTTCGCAAATCAAACAAAAGATTACAACTAGTGAAAAAGTTGTCAAAAAATACTTTATGATTTTTTGGGTCGGTATCTAATTTTATTTATTTTATTTTTATTTTTTATTTTTATTTTTATTTTAATAAGGATAACAACAGCGTATATCACTAAATACAATTTTCAATTTCACTTCAAGTATGCCAATAACAGTCATCCACATATTAAATATAAAGGTAAGCCAGGTACAATTATAATAAATAAAAACAATGCAAATTAGACCTATTTAAAACAGCTTAATAAAATAACATTAATAAAAATTAAGTAATTTTAGGTTTACTAACACTTACATATTAAGGCTTACTGATAAATTGATATGCGATTAACTTCTTGAGTATTTTTTTATTAATTTATTTATATCATGGCATATTATATTATATCTATCATACATATATATATATATATATATATATATATATACATACATACACATATACACACACATACATATACATACATATTCTTAAATATTACATAGTTTACTTATAATTTAAATATAGATACCTACAGAAAGTGTTCTTCATAATGTACCTTACCTGCATCCTACGTAAATGGTTACAAATACAGGTAATTCAAACAACAGAAGCTGTTTTCAAAATGAATTCACGTACCTTGTTTTTAAAATCACTTTTACTGCCTATAAAGGGATCGATGGTATTAAATGTTTTGTTATAATTTGATAACAATCGTGTTAAGATACTATTTTTACCGTAAAGTGTGGAGTGACGAGGAATACAAAACATAGTTTTCTTGGTGATTCTAGTACGTTTTCTTTGCACATTAAACGTGACAGTATTCAGTAAATCCGGACAGTCAATACCTTCGCGTAAAATATCATATAGAAATCCCATATCTAACAGTCCTCGTCGTTCTTCGAGCGTAAGAAGGTTATAGTGTCGGCAGTCATCTAAATATGATGAGCTATTATGTTTAAATTTATAGTTCAGGTGTGTAATAAATTTACGTTGAATTCTTTCAATATTGTTAATGTAAATTTTAAAAAACGGTGACCAAACCTGGCATGCATACTCAAGAGTGGATCTTACATACGAAAAATAAACTATTTTAAGACTTAGTAATTCCGTAAATGGAAGACATGTGCGCATGACAAATCCAAGATTACGAAAAGATTTACTACATATACTATTGATATGATCTCGCATGGTCATGCCGGCATCAAAGAGTACGCCTAAATCTCGAACAACTGTGACCCTCTTAATTAAAATTCCATTAAAATTATAGGGAAATACTATTGGATTCAATTTCCTGGTGAAAGATATACACTGACATTTAGATTTGCTTACATTTATGCCGTTAGCTACCTTAAAGTTATATAAAGAGGCAAGATCTTTTTGAATAGATTACGTTTTGTAAAAAAAATAAAAAAAAGATATAAAAAAGATTCGCAGTCTTCAATAGTACGAACACTGAGAAATATTTTCTTATCATCGGCGTACAGTAAGTGATGGCAGTTACTTATAAATTTATATATATCAAATATATATGCGTTGTAGAATAGGGGGCCAAGATGAGAGCCTTGAGGCACGGCTGTTGACAATTTTGTCAACAGAGACTTACAACTCTGGTTCCCAAAGTTTCGTCAGAAGAACCAAGTGATTTTCCACAGTAAAATCAAATTTGTAGCAGTACCCAGTGGAACTTGCAGCAACCCAGTTCTTATTTCCAAAACACACTGGCTTGTCTCTTATAAATTGCTTACTGGGGTGGTGTCCATAGTATTTGACCATCGACTCGTCAATTGAAATATTTTCATGAAATACGCCCCATTGATTGAATTTGGTCATCATTATATCTGCTAGGGATCTAATTTTGAACATTTTATCTCTGGAATTTGATGCTTCATCGTTATTCACAAGATGAAGATATCTTTTATTTCACGAAATTTATTCCTTGACATTGCTCTTGAAACTAGCGCAACTGCGACGTTCTCATACAGAGACCAATATAATGCTTCCCGATGCAATTTGTGATATCCCGACAAAATCAAAATAGCAATGAACTTTTTTAGGTCTCGTAAATCAAGTTGAAAAAAGTGTCTATTGTTTTGATTAGCGTACAAAATACTATTAGATAATATAAGCTGTAATACTTCTTCATCCAGTATTTTTTTAAAAATCTGTACGGGATTATGGTCTTTAAGCTGTTCCTTTACAGCATTCTGTTTATCTTGCACCTCAGACGTATGCTGATGGCCAAAAGTATATGATGGTAAACATTTTCTCCAGGCTAGAGTTTGCTGTCGCGGCTGAATGTTAGGCTGCCGATGAACTCGTTTTGAGGCCAATGGTTCTTCGTCACTGGAATCATAGTCGCTCGACAAAGTACTTTCATCGCGCACCAAAACCACAATATTTCCGGGCACATCTCGTGGCAACGTAAATTTTACCATATCCTTATCAGACCCTTCCTTTTCGTCAGTCACGACACTGGGATCAGGTGATATTATCGCCAAATCATATGCACAGTCATCATCACTATCTGCTATGACTGCTTCAATTGCTTCCTCGAGTCCTATAAAGCTATTTGAACCGGAAAACATCTTGCGACTCATTGTTGGTAAACTGAAACAAAGTTGTAATTTTTATCCATTGAAGTGACCAGTGTACTCAACTGAGTACATCAGTAAAAATCTTCATCTAAAGTTAGTAATAAATAATAATTGTTTAAAATTTTGTAACACACATTATAGATTACACTATATCTTATCACAATTATTACAAGAAACAAAATTTACACAAATAATAATAATAAAATATAATAAAAATACTACTCACTTGCACGCTAGTCAAATAACATGAAATCCGATTGCTCCAAATGACACATATTTTAGAAATACCCTCAATTTGCACGGGTCAAAAAAAATATGAGTCTACCCTCTATTTAATTTATTAAAATAAAAAATAACATACCCTCACATATTTAGTCAATTAATTTTTAAACAACTGTACTCGTTTGAGTACAGCGACAGATAATGGGTTAATAACCTGATCCTGTATCATACAGACAAAATCCTCGGTTTCCCCAAAGAGGTCACCATAACGTAGCCAGTGTAGCGAGGCGACTGTGTCTACGAAAGGCTTATGTAGTGCCTTGTAAAACCTCCTATGGAGCTTCTTCTCCTTTCATATGGTCTCAGGATCGGAAATGCACTGTCCTCTCGGATCTTGACATTGCTCGTTGGCTAAGGATAGAGGGGTAAGATCTTTATCACAAGAAATGACATCCTCTATAGAATGAGTCATCCGATTTCGTCAGTAAGTAATTACGGAGGCATCACACTTCGCGATTATGCATGGTTAGCGCGCTTAAAAGCCATGCCCACCGTGCTTCCGCAGCAAGTATAGCCTCATTACCGACGTTCTCTGATGGTGCATCCTATAAGACGTCATAACAGTGCGGACTTTTCTATCCAGGGCATTCAGTTCGATTCGAGTCCACCTGAGTATGCCAAAGGTATACATGAGGACAGACATGATTCAACCGTTATATGCCAGTGTTTTATTCACGCCAGACAAAAGGCTGTTTAAGCACTTTGAACAAACGTGCATAAAACAGATCGCAAACTGATTGTTTCATGTCCGCCTCATCGATACCTATGTTTTGTGACATAACCAGGTATCGGTAGGTTTCAGCCTCGGAAAGGGTTCTAATGTTGATAGGCATAGGTAAGTCTCTTAGAGTTAGCAACCCTACCCCTTTCGTCATGGAGGACCACATACTTATACATCCCCAGCTTCAATCTAATATAATTGCTAAAATTACGAGTGATGTTTAGCAATTCAATAAGATGTGAGCGACTGGAGGCAAACAACTAGAGATCATCCATATAGAAAAGGTATATCACTTTTGTACCTCCTTTCCAAAGCTGTAATGCCCTCCCGAAACCCTCCAGTAAGATATTGAGAGGCCCTGGAAGGTACACCTTCTTATCCTTATGTGGTTCTCCGCAGCCGTCATCTGCTCGCTTAGATGACAAATGATTGTACTCCACTGCCCCATACACTGTCCGAGGAAGTTTCGAACTGTACAGTCAACCTTGTAGAGCTCGAGGACCTTCTTCACACATGTATGAGCCACCGAGTCAAATGCCTTTTAGTCTTTTTAGGTTTTTGTTGTGTATCGAGACGGTGGAGAAGTACCACCGGTTGCATTTAACCACCTTGCCAATGACTGCAATGAAATATTTTATTTAAATTTTTATGATTAGTGTTTATTTGTTCACCTTATAATTAAATTTACTAGTACGTGACATGGCAATGTTAACCATACGGTACCATATCGTTATGCTTGTTAAAAGTTTAAGGTGCTTACATTTCGAAACAAACTTACCCTTACCAACAAGTTTGGCAACCCTCACTCAAAACTTTCTTAATTTAAAGATGTTTAAGTGGCATGAAAACCCTCAAATACTGTTATAAATTATACATGTCTACATACCTTTTACCATTTAACTACCGTTCTACCGGAACTTAATTCATTAATTTTTTATAAAAAAATATTCATTACAGTCCGTCGCAAGATTACTGTTGAACAGAGGCATTTGAACAGAGGCCTCTCCCATAGATTGCGCAATAGGGGATTATTGCCAAAGTTGCCAACCTTGACAGGTGGGTGGGCAACCGCAGTTTTTTGTTACTGAGCTGTTAAAAAGAAGATGCTGCTGTCCATTTCCCGCATCAGTTTTCTTCTGTCGCCTCTTACGACACCCATGGGATGATACTCGTAGTGGATTCTCTTACAGCAACAAAACCCGGCCGAATAGAATTTCTTTGTTGTGCTTTTGGTCGTGCATACTTTAAAACTGAATCCCAATGGAATAGCCTCGATGTTTGTCTAGTAAAGAAGTTTCAATGGAACTTCGCAGGCTAATTTCGACACAGTCACCCAAATACAAACATAAGGTTTAAAATTGTTATTTTGTATGTATCCTGGGTTTTGCAATAGGTATTGACTTTAAGTATTCTCTTGATTTTTTTTCATGATTTCGTAGCAGAGATGCATTTCTGCAGCTCAAGTGGTGAACTTGTGACAAAACCAGCATCATGGCATGAGCTCCTTTTTATTTACAACTAGATAAAAATAAAACTATTGGTAAAGCCAATTGAGCATGCCTTCGCATTAAAAAAATTACGAATAGCATGATTATACGGAATTTTTAAAGTAGTTTAAGTACACACAAATTTTCACTAATAACCTTATTATACTTCCAATTTTCCGATAATTTTATGTCAAACTTCAATTTGAAAAAGTTTGGAAAATCCAAAGTGCACGACTCATAATGCTCATATGATCATCATATCATCATTCATGTCACTACAAAAAGTCCAAGACGTATTCAAGTATAAACATTACATCCTACTTACTGTTAGTACGTACTTTTATTATTTATTCTGTGCTTTTAAAATATTGTAATAAAAATCTCTGATTATTATAATAATCAAGTATGTATGAAATTTGTTTTTCGTATATTTGTATTTATTTGTACAACGATCTTTTTGAGCCGCTGCAAACAACCAATACAGTATCCACTCACAACGGCGATTGACGCCGAACTAAGCGAGCGAGTGAGCGAGCCACAGGCAGTCTCTGTTAACTCTGTTTACTGAAATAAATTCTTACACAAGGCTGCGAAATCACCGAAAATTTCGCCATATTGGAGCCGATAAAAATTTATTACAGTTAAACAAAACAAAATTACACTGCCATTTACATTCATTGGCTTCCCACATGATAGATGAAGAGATTAAAAAATAGGTTGAGTTAAACAATTGATATTTTCAAAAGTTGTCGTGTTTACAAGCCTTGAGGACTTAATAAATCCACACCATAAGCCACTAAAACCCCTTTTTTATGTAAAAATAGCAATTAATCGATTTAAAAAAATATTAATTAGTTCAACAATTATTTATCTTTCTGACAATGTGCTTTTTATATCATTTATGTGTATAATATGATGATTGCTTATTTCATGCTACAAAACGTTGGAATCTTGATTTTTTAGACGCTAATAGAACATACCTATGCGCTTTGCGCTCGGCATGCAATAGTGTTCATAAAACTAAAACAGTAGCTCTTTAGTCTAAAGCTAGCGTGTTCAATCGTTGAAAGTGCGCTGGTACTTCTTATTAGTTTGTGATTATAAGTAATTGAGTAACTTATGTGGTAGTGTTAATGGTAGCACAAAAATAGCACTTGTGTAAGTTTTGCTGTCATTGTGCTTACAATGAATACAGTAAGCTTGAAATTATTAATATTATCACTTTAGTCTTTTTTTATAGTAGAGGGGGCAAACGAGCATGCGGCGGTAGTCACTTGATGGCAAGTGGCTACCGCGGCCTATGAAAAAATCCAATACCAAGGGAATTGCAGGTTTATTGCCGGCCTTTTACAAATAGTCAGCTCTTTTCTTGAAGTTTTCTAAGTTGAATCGGTCCGTAAATTTGACGGTTGTAAACGATTCCACAGATGTTATATTCAATTGTATTTACACGTACTTTTTCAATTGAATAAACTTATTTCTACTTCTACGTAGTAAAGCCACGCTGCAGCTCTTCTATGACTGCAATACAAATGCATCGGATAACTGCGTGGAAGGCTACGCTCTTACAGAGCACTTTATTAAATAATAGCATAATACTACTGTGTTTATGTGGTAGTATAGAGAATCTGAGAAAGATTTTACTGGTAACTTGACATTTCAACTTAGACCTCAGGAATTAAAACAGATCTGCATTTTGTTTTATATTAGAGGATAGATGTAGATGTTTATGGCATCGAATTTCCGTCAGGTAAACTGTTTTAACATAAAAAAGTTTTTATTTTTATTTTGTTGACATGAGAAACGACCAACAGCCGCCTAATGATAAATAGCTATTTTTTATAAAATAAACGTGACAAACGAGCAGACAGGCCACCTGATTTTATTTGGACAGCATCTACTATAGAAATGAATAAATGTATCCTTGATCTGGAATCTAAATGCAGATGCGTTGTCACGCCTGAGAACTAAGATAAAAGGCCTCATTACCAGAATGGGTCTCCGGGTCTATACTCACAATATGCACGGCAGCATTTAGTTCTCCCATTGACGGTCCTTACCTGATCGAGCCGACCCGTTGGTGCTACAACCATGATATAGCTGGAGCATGGCTCTACTACATAAACATGCATATCCTATTGGCTGAAATAGTGAATGCTTAGAAAATAATTAAATAACCATGCAACTAAGTAAAAATGAAAGATCTAACAGCTCGTGTCTCTGGTTTTTCATAATCTTCAGATTGAAAAACTAGCCGGCAGAATAAATAAATAAAATGGGGTGGGTGGCATCAAGTAAAGTCTATGTTATGTGATCAGCTTGAAAGTGAGAAGGAATAAAGTATAATACTTCGAGTTAAAAGCTGTTATAACTATACAGTAACTATTCAAATATAATTTATTTTAGTTTGCGGAACAAAACTGATTTTAGGGATTTTATCGCAATAAATTTTTAAAAGTTTAAAGTTTTATTTAATTCCAGACGTTTCATGTGCTTTTCAGTGCTCTTCACGG